CCCCCCCTTCAAAGTTAATTTTGAAGGTCAAAGAAGTAACCAGGATTTTTTTCAATTTTTTTCCTAAATTTAGTGCATTAAATTGACCTTATAAACATCTATTACGTTCGCTTTTCTTGCTGGTCCATATATGGACCAGTCCCGGAGCGAAAAGGTTAAATAAAGAATTATATTCTTAATTTCAGAAAAATATCATCTAAAATCTTTAAGAAGATTTTTTAAGTATAAAATCTTCTACTTACGAGAATATAATTTTTTCGATGTAAAACTGCATAAAAAATTGACACAACGGAGCTTGCGTACGTTTAGCAAAACTTCGCTGAATACCAAATCTACGGTATCTCCGCGACTATTATAGTCAGCTGTTAACTCATGTAACGTTTTAAATTTCGATCAATGATCGAAGCAAAAATTTTTATCGCACGATCGCTGCGATCATTCGTATCCTTGAAGACGTCCAGACTCGTATATTTTTCTTTTTTTTTTTTTTTCTTTCTTCTTTTTTCACGGCGAAATGAGCGATAATAGGAGCTAAACGAACAATGGCTAAAAAAAAACGACGCCGCAACCGATGAATAGAACCGCGGCACGTTCGCGCAGAGCCCACCTTTTGCGCGCGAACCGGATATATAACAAACACGCGTAAAACGACGGAATTGATCGACGATGAAGTGCGCTCGTTCCGGTGCGATGTTTCACGGTATACACAACAGCCGATGCGTGCGTATATATACGTACGTACATACGTACAATACGGCGGTAATCGGTAAATTGCGGTTCGTGCTGATCGAAATAACGATTTCACGCTTTTTTTTAATTGGCCCCGAACAGAGGTCGCAAATCGTATCTCGAAGGTCGGCAGCGTTATAAAATATGCGCGGGAAAAAAATCCTTTTTAATCCTTCAAGCACTTGTGTGTTATTAATCCTCCCATTCTTCCCATCCTCGGTCTCTTCCTTTTTGCAACCCTTGTTTTCCCTCAGCTTAACAGATTCCGAGGTTTTACGAAAGAGGAAGGAAAGAAACAGGAAGAGGGAGGAGGGAAGCGCGCCGAGATAGGCAGGATAGACGCGAAGTTAAACAAAACACTCTCGGGATAAAGTTCTGCTACTCTCGTCGTACCTACTTGCGAAGTACTCGAGTGACCCGCCGACGCCGCTCCATTATCGCATAATGCGGTGGAATTATATAAGAAATAAGTGGCACCTGTTTCTCTCCTCGCCGCATGGTGTTGCTCCCGGAAGTGGGGCGCGTTCATGCATGCCACGCCGCATGTAACGCGACGCGCTTTCGGTCCACAATATAAAGCGTACGCGTCTTCCTACAATTTGAAGTTTCACGGGTAATTCGAGCGCGGTTGACCGCCGTAAAAAAATCCGCCGCGGCGCGGCCGCAACCCCGCAACCGCAGTCTCGCGCAGTCGCCGTTAAAAACACAGGCAACGGCATTAAAGTCCGCACGGCCTCGCTGAAGGCGTGACCCGCTGATGGCATGTAATTGAATATCTTTAGCGCCTCTTTGAAGATCGACGTGCCGCGTCTCGATTCGCCCCGCTTCAGAAAATCTTCTCTTTCGTACGTTCCCTCGCTCGCGGTTTGTCTCTCAGACGTTCTTCATTATCTTAATGGCTTATTGCGAGGCTTCTCCTTTCGCGAATTTTTGTTTATCGCGGTTGAATGAAAACATTGTATTTTTTATTTATTTATTTTATTTATTTTTTTAATTTAATTCACGTCGCATAGAATTTTTAACTGTTGCGAAGACAAGATTGCCAAGAAGTGTTGACGTTATTTTGATTGCAAAACATTCTATCTTTTTGCCGTTGTCGCTATATATATCTTTCTTCCCTCTTATCGGCTTTGCTCTCTTGCCTTCTCTCTCTTTATCTTCTCTTCCTCGCATCCAGCTTCGAGCAAGTTTTCCACGAGTCACGATCGAAGCTCCCGTCACAGAGCGGAGATTAATTACGATTTAGCAAAGAGCGGGTGACGTATGACGAGACGTGGGCGGAGTGCCTACTTCGTCGCTTATCGCGTCGCGGGCCAATAACCGGCGAAGAACACGGTACTCGCGGCGGCCGGAATGATAAACGCGCTGATCTATCAAAATTGCAGTCCCCAACGCGACAGCCGCCTATAGAATGCCGAAATCGCATCGGACGTGAGTGACATAACAGTGCACGCCACTTTACTACTAACCCGTACAGAAAATTCGGTTACCAAAATAAAATAAAAGATCGGAGCGTGATTTTTTACACGCGGGGACATATGACGCCTGATAAAAGCGTACAAGCGCGCTTATATAAATCGCGAAATATCGACAGTAGTTTTATTTACGTCGCCCGCGCGAATAAAATATTTCACCTCGCGAATAATCACAATTGAATAAATCACGGATGAAAACAACGTTCTTTTTGTTTTTCTATACACACTCGTGCAGAGAAACAAAACAAAAATCAATATTTCTTCAGTATTTTTAACAGGCACCCGATACAAATTTCTTCCTCATTGTTGAATATATCCGTTTTCTTGTTTCAGGCGCGTTGTCGCAATCCCAATTTCCCGTGTTCACAATCTACGCCCAGAAGAGCTGCCTGGCTGTGAAGCCCTGCGAGCGCGCCTGGTGCATCGACAGAGTGCAGGGACACCGCCTTCAGGGTCACGCACGCAGGACCATGACCGCCTCTTCGAGGCAGCACTGCCTCGAGCTCTGCCTCGGCGAGCGGGACTTCCTGTGCCGGTGAGTATCGAGAGATTCTGTTTTCCCTCTATACATACGCGCGTAGAGAAACTTCACCGTTCGATTGCTCGTTTTCCACCGACCTGCTTTTCCGCCGTTCGCTCTGTCGCGGACACGACGACGCAAGAGAGTAAAAGAACGGTGAGAGAGAGAGAACTCTGGCTCGTCTCGTAATATTCGCCAGTCGACACGCAGAGGGAACGCCGGCTCTCGAGTAGCCTTCGAGAAGCGCACGGTCCAATGCGTTTTCCAGTTATTGGATTCCCGGACCGATCAGAGGACGTTACACTTACGCTCTTGTACGCGCTCCCCGAGTGCTTCTCAGACACGGACCGTGCACTACGGGAGTATCGCGCGAAAGAAAACGCAGAAAATGTATAAGAGTTAATATATATATATATATATACTTTGGATTGTTTCGTTTTATCTTCGCAAACATTTTCATCGCGAATGAAAATTTTTCTCCAAATACAAAAATGAACTGCTCTATGACATTTAAACGCGATAAAAACATATCAAAATTATTTTTCATTTATTTTAAACTAACACATGTCTGTCGTGCAACAACATATTTGTGAATACATTTGTCGGTATTATTTCAATCTCTCCATATGAGAAATATAAAAAATACATAAAATAAAAAAAATGTTTGATCGCGCGCGCGAGAAATTTATTATCGTCAAATAAAGAGTTCGTTATTTGAAAATATATAACACCGAGTGGTTTTTTTTTTTTTTTACGCATTTTTACACAGAATTACATACACGCATATATTTCGAGATTTATAACCCATCTCTCTGGTGTAACGAAGAAGAAGTTGACAAGTTGTGCGACACGCAACATGTTCATGGTACTTAAGCTTTAGTCAGCTAACGAACTAGACCGGCACACGTCAGTTTACAAGCGTAGGTGCTCGCGAATTCCGCATCGACGCGGACACATCCTTGTTGCGAGATCGCCGCTTTTGTCGCGATAGTCTTATTTATCATAATGCGTAACGGGGCGTAAAACCAGACGCAGTAATGCGTATCGCGGCGTCCTTATTGCGCGCGCTTATACAAGGTAAATGCAGATCCGCGCTGAATCTTGATCGTTTTATATGTCGGGCGATATCCGGGACGTAATGATCGACGCACTTTCATTACTTATACAGTGAACGAGGAAAAGAAGCTCGCGGTGGGAAAAAGAAAGACACACGGAACATTTGTACGCGATTACATCGCGTTTTAAATCACTTCGTTTACGTACACGTGGCCAGCGAATTGTCTCGCGATCTTGTTGCGCAACATAACGTTGCGGTAGTTGTTTTTCAGCTCGTACATTATGCGAGTGAAAATCGCATGAAAAAGCGACGAGAGAAACAGAGAGAGAAAAATGGACGCGGAAGTATTCATGCGTATCAATTATACTACGCTCTTCTGGTAATCAGATTTATTCGTATAACGCCAAAAATTCGCGAAATTTTGCGCGCGTTTCGCATTCCCTTTGATATACACGACACGAGCCGGCACGGCGTATTGGTATGCGCATATTTTTCCGATGCCCCGGTTCTCGTTCGGTTGTGTGTCTTTCTACGCCCGCGAAAGAGAAAGAGACAGAGAGAGAGAGAGAGAGAGAGAGCGGAGGGAGGAGGAAGAGAGAAGGTGTTTTTACGCGTCCTCTCGTTATTGCCAATTCTCTCTCGTCGATCATTATCGTCGGTACAAGTAAGCGTCTAGACAAGAACAATTTCTCGTACCACGACCGCGACCCGTTAGACGCTTAACGATTTTTCACGCGCCGAGTAATGATTATCGATCCGCGCGCTTTCTACGATTCACCATATGCTGATTTATATGCTAATCCGCGCGCGAACCATCTATCAATTACAGCGCTCTCGATCTATAATTATATTCACCTTTCGATTGCGAGTTTTTTTTTTTTTTTTTTTTTTTTTTTTTTTTTTTTACCACACATCCCGCCGCGGCCGCCGAGAGGGGTCATTTTTACTCGTCTTCGAAAATGCTCTTGGAACGCGCCGAGCATAGAGAATGAGGAGAGCAACGTGATCGATGCAATAGCGATGAGGTGTGTAAAAAATCTATTTTTCTATTTTTCCCCGAACGCGCGCGTGTGTGGCGACTCTACTGCGGGAGCGATCGCGCTACTACGAAGACCGTGTGTTTTTTTTTTTTTTTGTTTTTTTAGATGTCTTGTTTTTTGTCATTCCGCACGTTACGTCAAATTTTTCTCTTCTCTTTTGTCTTCACCGTCGTCAGAACCGCGCTCTCGCGTCAATTTTCCCCGCGGAGTCGCCGGGGATAAGATCGGACGAGGGGTTTCGGTTGGTGGGAAATGTCAGGACATCAGAAACTTTTTATCGGCCAGGCATGCGGAAGACGACGGGTCTGCGGCGTTGCGCGCCGTCTTCCGATTTCGATAGAGCTCTTCTCGGCGCGTTTATGCGGTATCACGCCGAAGAGAGCGTCAGGGTTCGTGAGGCGAGCGTGCTGAGTGAATGTGCACGTGCACACCTTGAAAGCATCCAAAGGTCTCTTGCCAGCTGGTCTCCTCTCTTTCTCTTTCTCTCTCTCTCTCTTTCCCGGCAACGATCACCGTTGTAACAACGACGATACCGAGAGACAGGGTCGAGAGGTCCTCGGCCGGGCGGAATCGTATCAAAAGTGGCTTGGCCGTGCGTTTCGAGATATAACCCGCGGGGAGGGACACATCGTGGAAAAGAGAGCACCGGCGTGAATATATGCATGAACGACCTCGTAGAGCAAAGAGGCGAGTGCCTGCCGAAGCAAATTTCCTGAACAAGCGCGCGTCTCTCCGCCTTTCCGGAACATAATCTGCTTAATCTCCGAAGAAACGGAACAACGACGACGAAGAAGAAAGAAGAAAGAAAGGCGGAATGGGGGGAAAATTTTTTTCAGCTTATCGTTGCGATTTCCGCGATAAGGTCAAGTGGAAGATGTGGCATTTGTGCTCGTTCAGCGAAAGGGAGAATAAATAATAATAATCATAATAATAATAATGCGAATTGGGCACGGATCTCTCGCGTACCATAGTCATGCAATTTTAATAAATAATAGCGCGCATAATTGCGGTTACGCCCTTTAATCCGATTGAATACGCGAGAAGCATGATCGAGACTATAGCGCGCGCGCCGCCACGCGCGGAATTCGATCAAATAATTAGCGTTAATTTATTTCGAAGCGATTTATTGTGAATCGGCAAGCGCAACGTTAATATTAATTGGCATTGCAAATCGTACGTATATACATATATATAAAGGAGAATAATTATTTGATATACACACTCGCATACCCGGCTGAAAAAAAAAAAAAGCTGCTTAATCTCGCGAGTCGTATACCCGCGCGGCTCGCGTACTCACTCACGTAAACACCGCGAGCGCGGAATAATTCGGCGCGAGAGGAGAGAAAGGGAAAACACACGCGCGGCGGCAATGTCGAGCGGAATCGTATAGGTTATATGTATAAATCGACGGTGTTGGCCGGGCATATCGCTATCGAGCCGCGGCGATCGGCAGAAACGTGCGCGCCGCGGCCCCGCGCAAAGAGCAGCAACAATGAAACATTTATCCGCGAGATAATGCGCGGCAAGATAATGCACGGATTCAGAGATCATTGCGCGAGGCAAGCGGAGAGGCGCATCCTCAGGCCTCGCATAATCTCTCCGGTGCCCTAACCTCGAGGATCTCTCTCTCTCTCTTTCTTTCTCTTCCTCATTCTGTAACTCGGATGAGGTCAACGGTAAGGCGCGCGGCGGAAACACTTAGGAAATTACATAAATATATATTCTGTCGTTTGGAGGAAAAGTCGCGGAAGAGGGTAGGATGAAGAAACAAGCGCGACGACCTCGCAAGGCAAGCGCGCGCGCGCGCGTCTCAGCGCGGAAGGAATCGCGGGAAGGAAGTCGGCTGTTTCATTAAATGTAGATAAATCTCCCCGGTATATCCGCACACACCCCGCGCGATTGTTCGTCGCGTTCGCTAGCGGATAATCACAAGTGGGACCCTCCGCGGGCCATTGCGTTTACATTACGTTACGCAACAAATGCGCGCGTGTGATCGCGCGCGAAGCAGGGGCCTCGTTTCAATCCTCCGCGTCGTGATGCTCCGGTTGTCTCGCACAAGAGTCAAGACCTTTGCGCGCTCGTTCGCTAAAGAAGCGCCGATGAAGATCGCATTAACATTCCATGGGAACGGTATCTCCCTCTGCACAATCGCCTGATTAGACATTGTGAAGTCGGCGCGCGGTTGAATTCTTTCGCGGGAAACACCTCGATTTCCTTGAGAGAGACAGAAAGAGAGAGAGAGAGAGAGAGAAGCGCTTCATCACGCGGGAACATCCTCGCGAACAACGCTCGCGAACTACGACCCGTGTGTACGGTGAATGGGGGAACTCGCTGTGTTGCCATTCAGAATCGTGTGCAAGCACGTTCGATATTAATAATCGGTAACAGGATTCGATTTCCCACGATCTGGTTCCGCGCGTATCAAAGATCGCACGTGAAACAATAACTAACGCGCGTTCTCTTTTCTCCTCAAACAAGTTCCGGTTAGATTTTTATTTATTTATTTTTATTTCTTTTTTTATCAATTATCTTCGAATAAGTTTTCCGTTTCTACGAATGGCGCGCATCTCCGCACGATTATCGAAACGGAAGAAACCTCCGAGAGATCGCCGATCTAGAGTATGAAAATGATGCGATCGAAAGAGGAAATCGATCGCATTGCGGAAGCAGATATGTATATATATATATATATATATATAATATATTTCTTTTGTTCGCGGACGCGCATTGGTGATTTATTGCGAGCAAATAGTAAAGACCGAGAGCACCGCGCGCCGCGCGCTTGCATCTCGATGATGTGCTCCAGATGAGTGTTCGAAGAGAATCGCGTTCGAGCGCGCGGAGAATAGAAGAAGAACGAGAACGATCGGGACGAGTGTAGAAGGGAAAAAGGATAGAGAGAGAGAGGGAAAGAAGGG